TGAAGTATCGATTCAGGGGAGAAAAATTTCCTGGTGCGGCACAGAGAGCCAACTTTCCTCACAGTGGAAGAAGCAATTGACTCAATGTATTTGTTCCATCTCAGGTCAGCAGTCAACGTGAGACCGAGCAGACACAGGGAGTTGCTCTCAAGAAGTTGACTATCAGACATTTTAATGGGGGGCAGGGAAGGATCTCTATGGTGGTTAATAGAGAGTAGTTTAGTTTTGGAGGCGTTAAAGTTGACCAGCCAATTCTTGCCCCAGTTAACAACCGATTGGAGGTCCATTTCAAGACACACGGTCAGGTTAGTTTTGTCTCTGACACTAGATTTGTTTTTGAGGCAGGAGTAAATTGTAGTGTCATCCGTGTAGATGCCAACTTGGGAATCTATGGTGTCAGGAAGGTCATTGATGAAAATAAGGAAAAGAGTGGGGCCAAATTCTTAATTTTATCTAAGTTTATTTTTCCATCTATTTTTATCCCGGTTTCTTGTAGGCAACCTCTCCACCTAAAACTTTAAAAAATTACTATTTATTTTTTACTTTTTCTTGTTTTTTTTTTATTTACAGAATTTGGAGCTCATCATAGATAAAATATTATAAAAAAAACTCCTATATAAAAATAATCCATGTAAATATATATATATATATATATATATATTAATAAAAAAGAATGAAGATTTTCAATAATATAAGCATATTATCTGGAATGCATCTTTTGATTTGGGAAGTGGGTAGGGAATAATATTCTGACATATGGTGAAAAGAGTACATTGGGCCAAAAAGTTAAAGAACTGCTGATCTAGCAAGTCTCATAGCATACAATGGAAAATGTGACACAGTATTCTGAAGATGCAGTGGAATAGTAAAAGATACCATTCAGAAATTAAACAATATTAAGAATTATAAAAAATTCATTGAAAACAAAGATAAGAGTGCTCAACAGTCATGCCACATTAATCCTCTGATTGAGAATGCAGGACAGTTTCCTCAGATGAAAACGGCAAGAGAGATTTAGATCTACAGAATTCAAATCAGAATACCATGGATGGAGCATGTGAGCAGTGAGAAAGTTTCAAGGAAAATGCAAACAAAAAGTACACTTTCACTTAGAATCAGAAAGAGTCAACTGAAACAAATATTCTTTCTTCTTAAAACAAAAGACTCACCTCAAAAATGAGGACTCACTGTCAATATCTTCAATACCACTAATATCTGACATATCATTCTAACCATCCAGTTCCTTGAACCCAATGCCTGTTTGGTGTTAACGGCATTTTAGATAACCTATCTCCAGTGGGATCATCTATAATTGTTGAAATCTATTTTGTTCTTGTTTTATAAACACAGTAACTACACTCCATGTCTTGCAATTTTGCACAACTCCAGTTGACTGAGTTTTAAATTCAAGGTTGCTGTTCTACAATGGATGACAACCATATCCAGAGAGTACATTCTGACATGTTATTTAAACCATAAATGGAAGCAAGAAACGATGGATATATATTTTATAGCTTCACTAATCCCTTCTAGAAATTTTTCAGACAATTGGAATCATTATTTTATTTCCACACCATTTCAGCCAATCAATTCTACAACCTTCTTCTGATATACAATCCATCAGAAAATACTGAGATCACTTTTCCATAAGAACAGATATGAAATAGAAAAGAAAAACTGCAGAAACCTTATAAGACTTTCTATAAACCATTGCTACAAACCAAAACATTAACCTAAGAACACAAGTGTTTTTAAATTGCCTTATCAAATTGAGACTTTCATATGGATGCCATGCATGATGCCAATCTCATTCTGAAATATCAAAATTGTTAGCTGTGTACAAATGCTTTCTAAGATCAATAGTTAAAAATGGCTTAAAATGAATGAAGCTTGTAGCTCTTAGTGAAGATCATACTTCTTCATACTTAGTGGACTGGCACTATGAATTCATAAACATAGAACTGAACCAACTATGGGATCTAGCTGTCTTCAGTCTGGAAACACCATCTGCTACAGCTGTGCAGCCTTGCATCCATTACCATTTGCACAGCCGCATGTAAAAAATTATATCTGCCTGCCATTTTTAAACAGAACACTTCTCAGTTAACTCACTACTACACACATTAAACATTGAAGACAGACTAGCCACAAATGTACATGAATGATAAATGTAACCTAGTCTACATGGCAACACAGTGCCATCTACTGTAAACTTTCTTTAAAGTTAATTACAGAAAAAAATGTAGGATTTGCAGAAATATGTTTATAAGAACTTTTGTCTTTGTTTTGGCATGTGGAACCTGCCTCCAGAGTTTGTAAAAGTATTTTTGATACACCCTGTATATATATATCTAAAACAGAAACATTCACAAAAGATGATTAAAAGCTGACTGAATAATATGCCCAATTATTTTCAAGTATTGACAGTGTCCAATGGAGGCTCTCTTCCTAATGACATCATCAACAGCTTCCAAATTTAATTAATCAAATGAGTAATAATGGATAAATTATTATTCAGGAATAAAATTAAGATTCAAAGCTAACTATTTATCTTAATATGTGACTGATTTTTATAAATCTCACCATTTAAAAATTTAAAACTTAAACTCATAATCACCTGTCGAAATCTTTAACCATTGGACTAGTTCTTCACTAATTTTAACAATTATGGACACTAATTTTATATCAAAGTTTTATATGCTTAATAAATATATTCTGACTGAAGATAATGAAAGAATCAAATTTTGATCAGGTACCAGCAATATTTCTCTTCTCCTGATCATATCAAATGTAATAAAAAGAAATTAATTACTGATTTCCTGATATAAAAATGATTTCAGAGTTAAAAAATTGTTATTTCTTATTACTTCATCTATTTTCTTAGCTTTCAAATAATTCAGAATTTCAAGTCAGGGTTTGTAAGATAACAACTTATTTTTAAACCTGAATACAGTTTGCCAAATATTAAGTATATTAGTACATTGAAGTCTGAACTGTATCACATTTTTACAGCAATAAACAGACTTGCAAATTTGGTATATTCTATTTAAACAAGTGCCACATTCTTTATTTCCCAGAATTCCATTTTGTTACGATTTATCTAAAACTGGAATGTAAAAAACGAAATGAAACCAAACAATAATGTAAAATACTATTTTCATATTCATTTTAATACAGAGCAAATACATTGCAAACAACACTGTAAAATAATCTAGTTTAATTTTTTTTTATACTAATGTTTATATTGATGGAAATGACAGTTACAAAATCAAGGAACTGGTAAAAGGATAATAATCAGATTTGGAACTAAATGGTACCATTTTCAAAACTCTTGAAATTAAATAAATAGAGAATTATTTTTTTTTTTTTATATAAGTAACTGTTGTATAAAATGTATGCCTCAAATTTTGACTTGCTACATTAAAATTTATCACATTTGAGATCACATTTTTCAGCAAATCATGAAGTCTGGTCAAGAGTTTATATCAAAAACAAGCCACTATGTTCTGACATTGTCAATGGTGAAGTCTGGTCAAGAGTTTATATCAAAAACAAGCCACTATGTTCTGACGTTGTTAATGATAGTGTAAATCATGAAAGTAAAATATTAAATAAATCTTGCATTTTAAATAGAAAAGAATAAATCAGAGTTTATTCAATAAAGATACATTCTTAAGTCTTCCTACTGTCAACAAACTTCACTGAAAATTACACTAGAAATAAAGGATTTTGGCAAAGCAAACTATTGAGTCATAAGTAATTTCCTTCTTTGGAAACCAATTGTAATAACAAATGTATCAGCCTAACTACTAATTGTAAGCTGAATCTTCTCTGTGTATTAATTTACTTATTATTACATTGAACTAAAATGAATTCTGTGAGTGTTTCTAGATTTAATTGTTTTGAATTTTTAGAGGAAGTATTTTCCTTCATAGTTTTTGTCTTTATTGTTGCTTCTTATCACATCATTCATGATTGATTTCCAATGACAAATATATCAACATAAACTATTAAACATATGTGGCAGTTAAATAGAATATACTAACATATGATTGATAAATAGATTAGGATGTGTCATAAGTAATTTCCGTTTTTGGGAACCAATTCTCATGACAAATGTACATCCTAAGTACTAATCATATGTGGCAGTTAAAAATAAATTTGGATTACACTTACCTTAGTTTTTGCATGGCAGCATAAACAGTGGATTAAAGGAAAAATTTTGTTCTCCAATACGACAATACTATTCAGCATACAGCAAGAATAAGACAGGAATAACAATGGCTATATTCACCTGACCTTGCATGGAATGATTAAAATTTTTGATTGGGAAAACTTTCTTTAATGAAAACCAGACTCAAGAGTGATATAGAAATATCAATGTAACAAGCATTAATGAAAGAGGTCATATAGAAACTAAGAAAAGTATAAAGCAAAAAGATTTATTGATTCATTTTCTACAGGTTATTCAAAGCCAGAAAAAATATTTTTTTAGATTGTAAGAATTTTTTTTTTTGAGATAATAACAGTTTAGTGATATAAGTCTTACAAATTAACCTATAGCTGGAGGGAGAAGATGTGGATTCATAGCTTTCTCAAAGGTATTTGCACATAAGTGAATACAAGAATCCCTTGATGAATGTGTTTTCAATTAGTGCACTAAAAGTTCTTTATATCAAAATTTGATTAGTGTATGCATAATACTCATTTAATGCGGTAAAACATGATTTAGTTTAACCATAGTAACTGAAAATTTATTTTTTTTATAGTTACTGATTAATTAAAAATTTTCTAAAATTTAAAAATAGAAAATGGCTAACTATTTTGTTTGTCAATTTTGTTCATATTCAATTAATGCATTTTTGATTAATGCATATCTTTTAATGTACTTATTAGCCACATTAATTGTGGGATTTCATTATAATGAACAGGCATCTAAACTCTGCTCTCTGATTAAAAATTCTAAGCTATTATCTATTATACCACACACACATCCAAACTTACAGCACCTGGTATTCCCAAGCTGTCACCCATTTAGATACTGACAAGGCTCAATGTTGCTTAACTTTGGTGATTATATGGGAACCGGTGTTTCAACATGATGTGGTCATAAGCCTAAAGTAATATTATTTTTTTTTTTTTGCATGGCAGTGTACACAGTTGATTAAAAGAAAAATGTTCTCTTCTATACAAATGCAAGGCTGCAAATAGCATGCACAACACAGAAATAACACTGTCAATATTCACCTGACATTGAACTGAATGATTATAACCCTTCCTGATTACTACAAAAAGTTTTGATTTGGAAAACTTTCTCTAATGAAAATCAGACTTGAGTTCATAGAAAACATTTTCAAATCAATACCGGCACAATTTACTCAAAAGGTATCAAAAAGCTGCCTGCAAAACATCACTGCAAATAATAATGAACAGAATGAAATAAAATGTAATTGTACATTATTTTGCAGGATAAAACTGATAATCGAAAATGGAAACTTTAACTATTTACATTGTTTGGACTGTTGTCCTCGTCTTTATTGTCATATTCACAATGTTTCAGTAGATTTTCAATGGAAATAACTGAAAATGAGATATCCAGAAAATGCATGGCATGGGGATCTAAAACAACCTGCCCCAGTGGATGAAATAAAGGGTTCAGTTCAAAATTCCAACATACATCACCTGAAGAAGGCCAGATCATAAAATGGCTGAAACATCATGAATATGACAATAAAGATGAGAACAACAGTCTGAAAAATGTAAATAATATAAATGGTTACAATACCTCACATCAGAAATAGACAAAAATGGAAATTGTTGATGACTTAACCTAATAAAACACTATATTTTAAGCAGAAAACCTACTTTTAATCAGTGTGTACATACCATTAGCTTTACAGGTCTATTTTTAATACAATAGCACATTCCAGAAATGGCTTCTTATTAATGCAAGTAAGCAGTGATGAATGTTATTCAAAAGGATGGAATTCCTTATTTTATGGCAGACAATTTATCCGATTTTTTCTTATTTCATATCCCAGCCAAAATGACATAAAACAGACATTGAATAAATTCCAAGGTTTATTGAAAGAGCTTGTATTGTTATTCTAGAGTCATTTGCCACTGTTGTTTTTTTCTCAGTTGGTTACCATTAATAATGTTCATGGGTTTTTCTTAAGGCTTAGTTTAAATACTTTCATCTCTAGACCAAAATTTCTGAAATCCTTATGATATTGTTTGCTTACTGGTTGTTCCTTCTCCAAATACAAAATTAATGTCTTTCCTTTATCCAGATGCATTGTCTGGATTTTGATTTATCCAGAAATGTCAATCATGACTGATCCACAAAAAACATGGTTTCAATGGTGAAAAAAATAAAATGGAAGTTTTAAGATAAATGGATCATTTGAAATGTAAAGTACAATGGCAAATTAGCTAGAATTATAACAATATATGATACAATATATACCAATTTAAATCCATTTTGAGTACATCAAATATTGAATTATCATTAATTTAGCACCTCATGTGGTACAAACTAATATAAACTCTACTGGGCACAAATAATCTGCTGGCAGATAGCAAATAAATTCAGTGGGGGCACAAAAATAGAAACTAGAAACTAAGAAAAAGTATAAAGCAAGAAGATTGATTCATTCATTTTCTACAGATTATCAACCCTTGGCATGTTATTTAAAGATGGAAAATATATATTTTTAAAATTGTAAGAATTTTTTTGAGACAATAACAGCCTAGTGATATAAGTCTTACAAGTTAACCCATAGCTGGGAGGAGAAAAGGTGGATTCATATCTTTCCCAAGAGTATTTGCACATAAGTGAATATAAGAGACTCAAAGGGAATTGGCATTCAGATCCCTGATCAACAATTCCAAGCCATTATACCACCCAGACATCCAAGCTTACAGCACTTTGTATTCTCATGCCATCGCTCATTTAGGTACTGACAAGGCTCAATGTCTTGATATCCTTAGCATCCTTCTGTAGAACCACATCTCCACTGCCATAAGTCTCTTCTTCATCTTTGAGGAGACTGTCCAACATTTGCTGGCCTATAGGAGGACAGATGTCACATAGCAGCTCAGTACTCTTTTCTTTGTCACCAAAGAAATCCTCCTGTCTTGCAGTACTGTGCCCAGCTTTTGGAATACATCCTTGACCATCCCAATCCATCTTCGGAACTCAGCATTGCACCCACTGAACTGAGAGGAAACTACAAGAATTCCTAGAGAAGATAGCGAAGGAAAGTGTGAAGAAAGGATTAAATATCAACTGCAAAACAATAGAATGTATGATTGTCAGCTAAAGGAGCAGCCCAGCAATACAAATTACAAATTGGAGGCACCAAAATCAAACAAGAACAGACGAAAAATACTGCAACACTGAAATCTGAAGGTGCATTGGGGTAGAAAAAAATGTTTTTCAAAAGCAATGTATTAAGAAACAATGACTAGTGTACTGAAGTGTTATGTAATATCAGTCCTCCTTATATGGCAGAGAATGCTGGACAATCTCCTCAAAGATAAAGAGGAGGCTTGAGGCAGCAGAAATGTGGTTCTAAAGGAGGATGCCATGTACTGAACATGTGAGCAACAACGTTTTTGAGAAAATGGAAATAAAAAGGACACTTACAGTTAGAATCAGCTCGAGTTGAAATTTCTAGGGCATATGAGGAAAGAAGTGTTTAGAAAATTTGACATTTACAGGACATATTAAAAGCGAGATAGAAGAAAACAGTGCATAACCTTCCTAATGTGCTTGTGTAAATGGTTGGTAAAAGTAGGTTTAGGAGGGATAGCAAAAAGATATAATTTACTAAAAGCTACAAAAGACAGGAAATTGTTGAGAGCCATGATCAGCAATGTCCTGAAGAAACATGGTATATAGAAGAAAAGAAGAAGAGTTGAAGGAACAGAGTTCAGAGCAGCTAATCTCGATCTTAAACAATACTTGTATCAGATTAAGTTTGTGGGTGTTTGGATTGCATTTCAGATACTTGACTTAACAGAAAATAAAAAAAAAATCTTCTACATGTCAGCATGAAATGTTGTCACTTGGATCTGTGCATTTTCACACATAATCAAACAGTGTAACATAAGAAATGAATTTTAAAAAATAATGGACAACATCCAAGGATTTGCAAATACAATGTACACTTGAAGAAGATTGAAGAACCATGTCATCAGAAACAGTGCATTGAAAACTACAAAGGTGAAGCCACCAGTTCAAATAATTCATGGGAACTGGCAATATGTCATTTAAGAATTTCTGACAATGTTTAAGTTTAGGATTGAAGACAGTGGAAATTTTATTTTTTAATTGCTTTTCTTTGCAGTATGGAATCATACTTACCAAGTCCCCTTCGGTCAAACAATTCAAACATGGAAAATTTCTATAATTTATCCTAAAAGGATAAATACTTCTTAATTAATGAACAAGTATATGTATTTGCATTCTGTTTTAACTAAGTTCAGTTATTAATAAGTTCAGTTATTTATAATGAAATGTTTCAATGTGATAGCCATTAGTCATTTAAATGACTTGAGCTATGAGGACGCCATACTTAGAGATAGGTGAAAGAAAACACAGTAATCTAATAAACATTTACAAACTTTTTGAAAAGCTAAAAGTGACACCAATTAAGGTAAAATGATCCTTTCTGAAAACTCATATGTAAGACAATTTTTATATTTCTCTGTAAACATGTATTATAAATATTCCATTATCTGCTTTTCCAAATCTTATTATTTTTCTGTACCACAAGTTTTAGTACAGATCTTTCTAACACTTTCACTTTTTACCTATATATATATATATATATATATATATATAATGTGGTGCTTAGTCTAAAATGATTGCCAATAGACCATGATAATCATTGAACTATAAATCTTGACACTATCAGTTAATATTTATTAACTCAGAGCGATCAATGAGAACATTGTAAAAGTAAAAATTAATTCTTTCATTGATAATTTGTAAACATCAAATATATAGTTGAGTGAATGCATGTATAAAGAAATTAAAATGTTCAATTTACTAACAGAGTTTTGAAGACGTAATGTCCACTCCTCAGGGAAAGTTATAGAAAACTGTGTGTGTGTGTGTGTGTGTTTGTGTTGGTTCTGTGAATTTAGGGAGAAAATGTTCTTTAAGGCAAATGATATTAAAAAAAAGACAAACATTGTGTCTCAAGTTTATCACAAACATCTATATTTTTAAAAAATAACTTTATTACACCATTTCAATAAAGTCAACAACTGTTACGACCTACTTTGATTTTGACTTAAGAATGTTGAAAACTTTGACCATATCTCATCTACTTTTTATCTGAAATGAACTATGGACAATTTCTGTTGGAATTTTCTCCTTGTCTGAATAGGATTATTCGTAACTTGACAGGTGGTCTCATCAGCAAAGTCACTGAGTAATAATGAAATGCATCATTTTTCTCCACAATTTATAGCAATGATTTAAAATCAATCACATTTTTTTTTACAAAAATGTGTGACAAACATCAAGGTGTGGGTAATTTGGCTAGGGTGTGTATATATATATATATATATATATATATATGTGTGTGTGTGTATATATATATATATATACACACACACACACACAACACACATACATGAGTGCAGGTTTCATAAAAGTGTATTTATATACAGGGTGCAATGGATAAATTCTTGTCTAAATTATGCAAAATTGAAAATAACACTGACATCTTATTTTAACAGATATATTTACCAAAATTACACAAAAATATCTTGAAATACTAAAGAGTAAATTTATTCAATAAAATTACCATTGGCTTAAACCATGGCCTCCACATGACTTCGGAATCTCTTGTAACTCATCTGGATGGTCGCCTTGTTTAAGTTGGTGAATGCTGCCATAATCCTTGCCTTGCAGTCTGTGGAGTTAGGTGGCCAGAAATAAGGGGTGATGTGGTCACAAAACTTATCTGACAGTCATGACTCTGTTCTGCTTGTGCGGCATGGTACAGAGTCCTGTTGCCAGATATAGGGTCTTCCAGCAGCCACGCACTTGACCCAGGGCAGCATTACCTTCTCATGATTCTTGATGTAGGCCT